GCCTACCACTTGCAGCGGAAATAAGTCCGCTGACCATTGTAGGAGAATCTAACAGAAAAAACGTCTTGCAGCAAGAGACTCCTATGCCCAGATCTGGGCATAAGAGAGGTTTAGAGTGTGCTGGTGTATGCAAGTTGGAACAGAAAAATGCAAATGAGACTAGGTGGCAGGTCTGAAAGACCTGCCGATAGATGAAGGAGTTTGCTCCTTTACAGCAAACTCCTCTTCTAGTCGAATCACAATCTGTAAATTTTTCATTAAAAAAAAAAATAAAAAAAAATCTCATGTTGCAGCGCGAAACGAAACGTCAACAAAGGTCGAGACTCGGAGGATTTCGACCTCGAAGTCGCGGATTCTGTTGTTGATTTGACGGTCAGAATCTTCCCGAGCGAAATCTCCCGTCGAAGTCGCGGATTCTGTCGCGATCATGAAGGTCGCAGGTGCCGTACAACTCAGCAGGGATTGGCCAACGACGATTGGTTCGTGAGTTTCATCGTAGCGGATACTGTACCTCGCTAACATTCGCTCCGCGCATTTTTGAACACACATGGTCTGAAACACTCAAATTCAAATTGCATTTTACATAACACATGGCACTATTTTTCCGGGCCACTATTAACACCCAGTCATTTTTTTAGTGAATTTTTATATACACCATAGGTGTTATATACGGGGGATTACGGTATAAGCCGAGTGCAACATGCACATTGTGGTTGTCGTTGTCGGCTTGAAAGCGAAGCTTTCAAAACGTGCATGTCAACCTCAATCGCAGCATGAAAGCTTTCGTGTACCGGTATCTCTTCAATGCATTCGCAATATGTAATTTTTTGAAAGTGTGTAACACGTTCTAAAAATGTGTATTGTGAGAGTGTAGCGAGGGCCAACGCAGCAAAGGCAGCGACGAAGCGCTACTCATCCTCTTTTGCCTACAAAAGAGGGACGTGAGGCCATTCGGCCTCCCCCACGTTCTTCATTTCTAGTTTCTCTAGTTCAATTTCCCCGCCCACCCACCCTCTTGTGTGTAGTTCTTTGTTGGACGAGAACCATGTATGTTTCTCAGATGAAATGAAGCACGCTGCCTTTACAAGAGGACCAAAGCAAACTTTCAGAATATTATTGTACATATGTATTGTAGGTATGTGGACGTTTCAAAAGTTTGGTGTTGGTGTGCGGTTATTTGATTCTGTCGCCGTATTTATCGACGGTGGAATTGTACCAATCGTACACACACAACCCCCAAACCCTAATGAACAACCACATTATTGCGTATGAGCATGTTCTATGTTATTTTATTTGTGGTGTTGTATGATTCATATGACATGGTTGATTTTGTGTGACAAAAATGCGACAGAATGTATGTTTTGAAACCATTCGTTCGCCGCATTCATAGACGGAATGTTGGTCGGCAAAACATATATAACGTAAACAGCATAAGGGCCGTATTATAACTAACAACACTATACAAGTGTATAATATTAACATTTAACCATTTAACAGATGTAGTAGCCCTAAAGTTATTGGACACCCTGGCGCACGAAAACATGAAACCAAATTTATAAGGTTGCTATGCAACCCAACAATGCTCCTCGAGGTCGATGGTGGTGTTGGTGGGGTGCAGCATGGCTTGCTCCGGGAGCTCGGTCGGAACGAACAAACGAATCGGAACAGATTTTCGGGGCGAGAATCATCTTGGCGGATTCAGTTTTCAAAGTGATCACCATGCGATGATGCGTGAAGAAATCGGTGTGTTCCAGAATGCTTGGTACACCTGGAGCAAACCTAAGGCCCACCTCAATACGTGGCCCAATCAGAAACCACCGCCCATTAGCATTGGCATACGGGCAACGACCCACTCAACGTGGGTGGTGAACAAAGCCAGGAGTGCAGCGTCATCATGGCAGCGGTGACAAACATGCAACACAAGACGAAAGATGTCGCCGCAACCGTTTTCGCCACAAACTTCCAGCCGCGCTCGGAATAGCCCTCTGGCGAAGCTCATCGAGCCTTTCGTTGAGCTCGCTAAGATGCGTACGCCTTGCTGGGTTTGTTTGTGGCTTGAGCATCGCCGCATGAAACAGAACGCTGACTTGGCAGCGAAATGGAGTCGCGATGTCCTGATGCCAGGGGTCATTCTTAACATCCGACAACCAGCCAAGGAACAAACTCGAAAAAAAATTCTCACAAAGCACGCAACGGTTATTTTTGCGACACGAACCTTCAATTCGTAATGTAAGAAATCTTTAGAACACGCCCCTAGCACTTGGAACTGAAATGCGACTCCAAACCCTCCCTACATTTCACTGAGTATAAAAGAGAGCAAACCAAACCAGAGAAACTCACTCAACATCTCACCCGCCAACCACCACTTCGGTGCTACACCAGAGAAACTCACTCTCGCTTGAAAGCGCCGAAATTTAACACAGGGTAACTAAGTGAACAATGGCTCGCCAAAATATGCCACTCAAACCTACCCCGCAAAACATCAAAATGGTAACCTTCGTGCCCGTGCGAAAGGCCCACATGCCCGTGACGATGCCGTGCGAAACTCCAGCGTGTTTTTGTCTACCGGCACCCTGAAAAGTTGTGTTTCTCTGTCAGGCTCAAGGTGTACCCGTGATGAATATTTCAAGTACATGGGGGCAGTTTCTGCCCATATTTGTGAACGGACACCCACCTGCGGTCAGGGTTTATTGGTGTACACATGGTGCCCCCCGGAGGCCTAGCTCAATACGTGGCCCAATCAGAAACCATCGCCCATTAGCGTTGTCACAGGGGCAACGGCCCACTCAACGTGGTCCGTGAACAGAGCCAGCAGTGCAGCGTCATTATGACAGCAGTGACAAACATGCGGCATAAGACGAAAGATGTGCGCCGCAACCGTTTTCGCCACAAACTTCCAGCCGCGCTCTGAATAGCGCTCCGGCGAAGCTCAGCGAGCCTTTCGTTGAGCTCGCAAAATTACACACGCCTCGCTGGGTTTGTTTGTGGCTTGAGCGTCGCCGCATGAAACCGAACGCTGACTTGGCAGCGAAATGGAGTCGCGATGTCCCGATGCCAGGGGTCATTCTCAACATCTGACAGCCAACCCAGGAACAGACTCGAAAACAAATTCCCACAATCCACGCAGTAGTTATTTTTGCGACACGAACCTTCAATTCGTAATGTACGAAATATTTAGAACACGCCCGTAATATTTGGAGCTGAAATGCGACTCCAACACCTCACCCCATCACACTGAGTATAAAAGGGAGTAAACCAAACCAGAAAAACTCACTCAACATCTCACCCGCCAACCACCACTCTGGTGCTACACCAGAGAAACTCACTCTCGCTTGAAAGCGCCGAAACTTAACACAGGGTAACTAAGTGAACAATGGCTCGCCAAAATATGCCACTCAAACCTACCCCGCAAAACATCAAAATGGTAACCTTCGTGCCCGTGCGAAAGGCCCACATGCCCGTGACGATGCCGTGCGAAACCCGTGCGCGTCTTTGTCTACCGGCACTCCGAAAAGCTGTGTTCCTCTGTCAGGCTCAAGGTGTATTCCTGTCCCACAATCCCCACTCCACTAATAGCTGGCGCCTCTGTGATTGGTCTGTCATCCTCAGGGCTCATGTTGGCAGCATTTTGCTGGCTCGATTCGCCTCGCTTCACCCTCCTCCTCGTCCTTTCACCTCGAGCAACACAGGCACAAGGAACTGTACATTACCCCTCAGTACAACAGTGTGCGAGGCGAGGTGATGCCCATGAACAGACAGGCCTGGGGGGACTCCGTTCGGCCGGGATGATTTGGCGCTTGCGAACGTTAGGGGGAAGGGGCACACGGGTCAGGGAGAAGGTGGGGTGGGGATTTCTCGGTTTGTGAGGTGCGGGGGGATGGACGGATGGGGGGGTGGGTGGGTGGATGGATGATGGCGCAGGGTGAAAAGGGATGCTGCTGGTCAGAACGCTGGAATTGACCCTTGATTTTGCATTCCCGATTCCGAAGCAGATCCTCCGTGCGTGATTGCGTCGCAAATCACTCTCACGCGTTTTTGTGTTCTGAGGCAGCTGCGCTGTTCATTCCCAATCAGCTCGGCAGTGTCCAAGCATAAGTCCCTAGCCTAGATTCTCGACGCAAAACGGTTTAACTACGCCGAGGTGTGAAAAACTTTCATGACAAATGTCTGGACCTTCATGGGCGGTAAGTTCTGATCCTATCTCTGATGATGCCCAGCAACATCCAATTACTCGCTTAACAGGGCAGTGTAGGCCAGCGTAAAGAAAACCCATGACGGTTTTGACAATTGGGGGTACCATCACCAAGGTGTTAGGGTGTTCTGTATTGTTTTCTTATGTTGGTTTGTTCGGCAAGCCCAAGGATTCAAGACAAACCAAGCCAGGGCACTGATCGCCAAATTCTGCTGGCAAGGCAGACCCAGCCATGGCTCAAACCTTCTTCCCAGGCTCGCAATTACACTACCGTCGCTTCGAGGTCCATGCCTCGAACCTGCAACTTTTACTCTGATTCGTCCTTAAACCTGGTGAGCACACAAACCACCAGCTTCGTGAACAAAACCATTGAGGGCCGTTCGATGGCACAGATCCTCTGCACCGAAGCGAAGAGGTCCTTTGTTTCCATACCTCCACATCCCAACCAACCGGCCACGCACATGTCTGTTCTGTTGGACGTTCACTGCTGTCATGTGTGGTGTGGCGTGGCACTGTAGCGGGGGCAGTTCAACTCCACACAAACAAAGCCACAAAGCGGGGAGGCAGGCGGACATACAGCCAGGCAGGCAGAATTTACACTCTAAATCTATGTAATGTAATGTATGGAAACTGTACTGTGTTTTCTGGAGTTGCCTGACAGTTGTGTTGTGTGTGTGCAAGGCAAGCCAAATCTCTCGAACCTAGGCCAACTTGTTGCGTTGTGTTGGTCGTCTTCCTTCGTGCCCCGCCGCACAAGGACAAAGTCAGCTCAACCCCTTTTCGTCACTGCCAATGCCAACTCCCAGACACTCCCTCCCTCCTCCCCTACATGCCCCATGGCAGAGAGTCAGGACTTCGGATTCCGAACCGAGGACCCGCGCGCTGAGTCACCCTGCTTTGTTTCTCACAAGCAAGCTTGCTTCCATAAAGAAAACTCCACGAGCCAGAGCGTGTGTGCCAAATACAGGCGCGGCTGTTTTCAACATCCAACCAAGTCAAGATCGAGCAACGTCTTGGCAATTCCAGTAGCAGTCTGATGGCTGCGAAGTCGTTTCTCGTGATGAACGAGTCGCAGCAGCCTACTAATCCCGCGTCTGTCGTCGCCGCGAACCATAATCTTGGCGGATCTCTTTCGACCTTGCAGCACCACGCGTTGACTTCCGCCCTTATCCAGCACATGCAACAACAGCAGCAGCAGCAGCAGCAGCAGCAGCAGCAGCAGCAGCAGCAGCAGCAGCAGCAGCTTCTCAGACAGCTTCAGCTACAGCAGCAACTCCAGCTGGCATCACAGCCTCCGCAGTTTGCGCGTCTTGAAGATCCGCAGCCTGTCGGCGCCTCGCTGCAGCTCTTCCCTTCCGCGCCACCGGCTGCTCCGGGGAACGACGCGGAACTCCCCCGCGGTACTACCGGGGGTGCGCGGGCCGCGGAGCCCGACCTGCGCCTCAGCGTGGGTTTGTCGCTCGGCGGCGGAGCGGCGGGCAACGATGGCGTGATTAAGCCAGCGAAGCGGAAAAGAGCAGATGAGGTAAGATCTTATAATGAGAACTTGAAAGCTATAAGATCCGTTTCGTTCGCGTGCATCTGCCAGCGATCTTCAGATTGGCGCGCGCTTTTGATCCCGTCTCATACGCCATTGCGTCCCTTCTTGATAAATTCAAGTTCCGCCTGAACCGCCAGCGCTAATCCTCATCTCGTCCCTATGCCGTATGCCGCAGTTCCCACGGCGCACGCGATCCCCCGAAAGCTCCGCGGAGAACAGCAATCTGGACACCGCGGCCCCTCCGCCGCCCTCCGCCGCTGCGCTCCCCCTCTTCGCCTTCCCGCCTGGCGGGGGCGCTGCTCGCGCCGCTTCCCCACACTGGACGACGGCACTCCCTCACGTCACTACCGCGCGCGCAGCCGCGCCCCACGCTGGCGCCTTTCCCCATCGTTCCCCCCGCCTCGCCGCTGGCGCAGCGCTGCCCACCACCCCGTCCCCTGACGAGGAGCCTATCGGCGGATGGATGGGCGGGGGGGATCGCGGCGTCCCCATCGGCGCGGGTTCCCCCGTGGGGGGACGCGCTGGCGGGCTGAGCGGGACGGGGAGCGCGGGTGGATCGGGGGGGGAACAGGTGGAAGGCTTGGACGCGCAGGAAGCGGGGGGGAAGTCGTCTCGGCCCCGAACGGTGGCAGAGAGGAAGCGACGAAACGGAATCAGGTACGGAATCGGGACGCATGCTTGCCTGAGCCGTCGGTGTAGAGCACAGGATTGCTGTTTGTTGCATAGCAGCAGAGAGTCCAGATCTGGTTCCCCCCCTGGTGACTTGACTTCAGTCCCCGACTCAGCTTGTTTTATTCTTCCGTCAGTCCTCTACTTGACTGTGACTGTGCTTTCTTTTCTGTGCATCTCATGTGTGTTGTTTCTGCAGCCTGAAACTAGACCAGCTGAAAAGGGCTATACCCCAGTGCAACACACGGGTCACAACAGAGGCCCTGTTATGCGAGACATTGACTTACATCCAAGCGCTCAAGGCTAAGGTTGACTTACTTCAGGCAGAAAAGGCCAAGCTGCTTTCGCAAGCATTGGGAAGACATGTGCAAGGCCATTAGGGTACGCTAGCGGTTGTTCTTGGGCATAGCTGTAAGCTCTGCTGGTTACATGTATTGTAAGCTGAATCATCATGCATTGGATTTTATGGTGTTACCTATACATACTATGGTGATTCTCTAAGAGCGCTTCCGAAGTGGAATTTTTTAGATTTGTACCGTATTTAAATTTGCTGCAAAGCACAGAACCTGTAGCAAGCTGCAGCACGCCGAGCTGCACCGGAAACTGATAAGGAAAGAGGTGGTCGCTTGGAAGCGCGCGTGTCCCAAGAGTACGTTTGATTACGATTGGGTGAGATGCTCACTGATTCAGCAGGGTTGAATAGCGATGTAAAACGATTGGGTAGGGTGTTAGCGCGAAAACGTACGCTTGGGACACGCCCTAATGCATCAGGTTTTTGACAAAGCATTCCTCCACGATGTGACGTCACGTTACCTTAGGAAACCATACATACCGTTATACAAAACGTCAGGAACCACACTGTACCTCTGAATGCTGTTAGAATCCCAACTTCACGAACTGCTCTCGCCACACAGCAAGAAAATTCCGGCACGGCGGGATAGGTGCATCAGCTCAGCAGCATCTAGCTGCTGCTGTGACGTGGTTTCACTCTGTGGCCAGTTTCCTTTCCAGCGTGGGCACTCTGCCCACTGACGTGCAGGGCTACACGTGTTCTGGCTGGCCATCCAGCAAGCTCCAGCTCAGGCTGCACAGAGATCCGTTCTTGGCAATTCTCTACCGTTCGTTTTCCAGGCCACGCAGAATCCCATGAGCGCATCTCCCGCGCGCACCTCTGCTGGGCGCGAGTACAATGTCGTGCAATGCCCGTGCAGGTTTTCCCCCTCCAGGCTCCCCCTGTTGTCTGAATTCTGGGCAAGGCATCCCAAAGCTGCCTCTTCCACGTTCCGCTTTCACTTCCCGCGTTCCGCGTTCCGCCTTACGCAATTCTTTCTTGGGAATGCCATCATATTCCTGCACCCAGACACCAGCCTTCCTCTATACACCAGGTCGATAACAGACTCGTCCCACGATACAAGTTTTGCCGTTGTTTGCTTCCTTCGTCGGGAGAGTCGACCTTTAATTCCTGTGCGCCTCGTGCATAAGCTAGCGCGGCTTTCCCGAATAAGAAGGAGCATGGCGGCACTCGCGGGAGCAGCTGCCGTTGCGGCTCCGCTGCAGGTCCCCGGAGTCAAGCAATTAGCGACAGGGTCTAGCAGCAGCAGCAGCGGTTCGGTTCGTTCCGCGGTTCCTAGGAAGCTCGGGTCCGATATTCTGGGAAAGCAGATTACCGCTACGCCACGCGGAATGCAAGCAGCTTCGCAGAATGTTCGCCCGCGGTCGGTGGAGGTCCGGGCGGTGGCGACGGAAGCACCGACGAAGATGTCGCGAGTGGTGCAGTGGGAACAGGGGAAGAGACTGCAGGTAATTCTGGAGGCTGGGAAAGAGACAGCAGGTAATTCAGAAAGCAGAATAATAGACTATGGCGTGTAGGAGAGGGGTCCAGTTTTGAGGCGCCTCAAAACCAGAGAATTAGACTTACGGCGTGTAGGAGAGGGCTAGCGAGCGGTATCAGGAAATGGCGTAGAGGCGGTGAGCGAAGTCTGATGAAATGTCGAGCAGCGTGCTGACATGGTCATCAGTTTTCACAGCATGGACTTCAGGTTTCCTGCTTAGACTTCCAGGATTGAACTTCCGCCGTTTTTTGAGGCGCCTCAAAAATCCTCAAAAATCTTTTGAGGCGCCTCAAAAATCTTCACAGCATGGACTTCAGGTTTCCTGCTTAGACTTCCAGGATTCAACTTCCGCCGTGCTCTTTCCTTCCAAAAACTGGTGGTCGGTGCGTTTCCCGCGAGGTGACTTTTGAGTCGACTCAAAAGTCACTTTCGCCGTACGCTTTCCTTCCAAAAACTGGTGGTCGGTACGTTTCCCGCTCACCCGTTCTTAATGTTGACAGCCGAAGCTGAAATCCACGTTCGTTTGTTGCATTCCTGAGGGTTTCCGACAGTGATCTCGGCATGTGTACATGTGTTGATCTGATGATGTGTTATAGGAGTCTAGATTTTAGGCGCCTCAACACTGATCCCTGCATGTGTTTATGTGTGCATGTGTGCATGTGTTTATGTGTTTATGTGTTCATGTAGTTAATCTGATGATGCGTTCCGACCACTGCAGCCTGGAACCATCTAGTCCGTGTTTGACTAGGTTCTTCGCGCCAACGGAGCTTGTTCTGGATTCTTTCGTTCCTCTTCTTGCTCTCATTCTTGTTCTCTGTTCCGTGTGTAATGAGTCGATTTTTGAGTCGACTCAAAAATCGACTCATTACACACTGTTCCCTGTTCCGTGTTCCTTGTAATCCTCATCGCGTCTCGCCTGCAGACTCAGACGACAACCATTGCTGCGGATACGACCACCATTCGCTCGCTCGACTGGGATCGCGACCGCTTCGATATGTACGTCGCCCGCCTTCGTCGTCGGCATGTATGGCATGTATGATATGCACAGTATGGCATGTATGGTATTTATGGAATGGCATGTATGGCATGTATGGTATGCACGGTGTGGCATGTGTGGCATGTATGGCATGTATGGCATGTATGGCATGTATGACATGTATGGTATGGTATGTAAGGCATGGTATGGTATGGTATGGTATGGTATGTATGCGT